ATGACCCCAGCAAGGTGATCATTCAAACGCTTCTTGAATGTGTCCAGAGTAGGCGCTTGCACTACTTCTGGGGGGAGTCTATTCCAGACTCTAGATACTTGGACAGTAAAGAAGTTTTTCCTTACATTCACTCTCAAACAGTCTTCTAACAGTTTGTGACCATTGGACCTTGTCTTCACTTGGGGTGCCCTGGTAAACAGACATTCTCCCAGGTCCTGATGCACACCTCTGATGTACTTATACACTGCCACCAAGTCCCTCCTGAGCCTACGCTTCTCCAAACTGAAGAATCCGGCACCTCTCAGCCTTTCCTCATAAGGCCTGCTCTGTTGACCTCTGATCATGCGTGTGGCTCTCCTCTAGACTCTCTCAAGCTTCTCCACATCCTTTCTAAAGGGTGGAGCCCAGAACTGGATGCAGTACTCCAGCTGCAGCCTCATCAAGGTCGAATATAGCAGGAGGATGACATCTTGGGTCTTGCTTGAGATGCATTGGTAGATGCAAGCCAGGATTTTATTTGCTTTGTTGGCTGCAGCATCGCATTGGTGTTTCACATTCATCTTGTGGTCAATCATGACCCCCAAGTCTCTTTTGATTAGCACTGCTGAGCCTATAGGTATGATGTGGGTTCTTCCTCCCAAGGTGGAGGACCTTGCATTTCTCTATGTTGAATGTCGTCAGGTTTTGATCTGCCCAACTTGCAAGCCTGTCCAGGTCGGCCTGAATCCCCAGCCTATCCTCTAGAGTGATCACACTTCCCCATAATTTGGTATTGTCTCCAAACTTGGCCAGTCCGCTTCTGACACCCGAATCCAGATCATTTATGAATATATTAAAGAGTAGTGGTCCGAGAACTGACGCCACTGGTCACCATGTGCCATGTTGGCTCAGTTCCATTGACAGTCACTCTCTGAGTCTGACCACGGTGCCAGTTCCCCAGCCATCAGACCATAAGGTTGTTGAGGCTGCAGCTCCCCAGTTTTCCTATGGGGACATCATGGGAGACCAAGTCAAAGGCTTTTTTGAAATCCAAGTAAATGACATCAGCCTCTTCTCCCCTATCCAGGTGATGCATCACCTGGTCATAGAAGAAAATGAGGTTGGCTAGGCATGACCTACCTGTAATGAAGCTGTGTTGGCTAATTTGCAGAATGATGCCTTTTCTTAGCCTTTTATTGATGGATTCTTTAACAATTTTTTCCAAGATCTTTCCAGGGATTGAGGTCAAACTGATTGGCCTGTAGTTCCTTGGGTCTTCCTTTCTTGAAGATAGGTACCACATTGCCCTCTTCCAATCTTCAGAAACCTCTCAACCTACCTTTCCTATGGGCTGGAATGAACTTCCCTTGTGCTTTTAGGATTGCATCCTTAAGGAGCGACCACTCATCTTGGACTCCCTTCCCACTGGAAGTCCTCCTCCCCAAAAATGCATCAGATTGGGCTGGCACACAGAATTGGCCTATAGATGGACTGTATGCACTGGGTCCGGATCCACGTGTTGGGTTGGTTCTAGTGGGCTGAGTCTGGGTTCTTGCCCTGGCTGGCTTGCGGCCCCTGGCCCTGTTTTGATGGATCAGGCCCCGTCACATGGCCCACAGTGCTGCCATGGTTGGATAGAGCCCTGGTGCATGGCCCCCAGGGCTGATGTAGTCAAACTGTGCCCTGTTGAAGCCAGATATGGTCCCATTGTATGGCCCTCAGTGCAGCTGGATCAGACCAGGCCACGATGTTGAAGGGGTTGGAGCTGACACACAGCCCCTAATCCCAGTGCATGGCCACCTACTCTGGTGCCCAGCCCTGAAGTCCTCAGCCCTGGCCCCTGGCTCCCAAGCCCCCAGCCCCATATTCAGGGAAGGGGTAGTTTCATAGTTAGGGTTGGAAGGGACCTGAGCAGATCAAGTCCAACCCCCT